ATACTGCTCCATTAATATGTTTGACAGGCTGAAGTTGTCGGGTCACCTCCACCATTCGACATGACGAATGACTTCTGAAGTCTTAATTCAGCTCAAGACGCTGTAGAGTCCCGTCAGTGAACAAACAAGCAAAGATGTGCAAAAACAGTTTGAATAGCATGGTTTCCTCCGTGACAATCTCCCAACTTCCGAACAGTGAATTCTCCTCTTGGTCCGTGGTACAAGAAACAACTCCCTCAGCAATATTTATAAAAGTGCTCGGCTCCCTCCACACTCTAACTTCTGGTTTGTTTGCAAAACAAGACACAATTTAGTTCATTTCTCACCGACAAAGGACAAAGACAGGTTCACCTGAGCGAGCCAGAGTTTACTGACTCACTTAGTGATCCCAAACCTCAGCCACTCTGTTTCAGGGTGAGCCTATGACGAGGATCATCAGCAGCAGGTGAGTATGATTGTTGGCAGGTGTGGCTGACTTCAGGGCGGGAAACTCTCCAGCCTTGGTGTTGCACATAAACAAGAACCTAGAGACACACATACACACAATGCAAAATCTTTCAAAATGACTGGTGTTCAAGTTCTTCCTCTTGTGGTTTCATGCTACGACTTGTCAGCCACAGAGCTTTTGTTCAGATCCCCTCATGGTTTGTGTTACTGTGGCATCTGACACACACCCAAGTCCTTCCCTGCAGGCTGTCTGATCCAAACATAATGATCATCACTGCTGAATGATGATGATGATGTGATGGTTCAGTAAATTTACTGAACCAACCATTATCACAAGAAAGGCTTTAAAATTCGAATTTGCAGAGTAACCTTTTGCTTTTAAATGTATATTATAAATATAAATGTATACATATTTATTTTGCTGCACGATTTAGCTTAATCAGTTAAATCACCACCACTCTGCACAAGGTTTAACTGCTGACAAGAACAGCACTTAAACTTTCCGCTGTCATTAAAATGGACAACAACAGAGAAAATTTAGACGATATTGTGTAAACATGGGGTCAGAAGGTACTCCTTTTTCTTGGGCCATTACCCAGCCCTCCCCGTCCTCCTCCTTTCCCCACTGGACCCTAACTCTAAAATCAATCTGCGGTCACCTTCCTTGTATTTTACCTTTGTGTAACTGTGCTGTGAAGTTTTGCTAATCAGTAAATCACTGCCAGCGAATCATAATTCAAAAGAAAACTCAGCAGCGTAAAGTGAAGTTATGTATGAATGTAGTTTTATGCACAGCCCACTGATCTCACTTTTAGTGGAGAAATCATAGTGTTGCATCTCTCTCATCGTCTGTTGTACGTTTTGTGCGTTTCAAGTGTGATGTCCTCATGATTTCTGATGACAGTCCAGTACCTGCATCCTGTTGGAGAACTGTATGTAAAACACACAAGTGAACACAGCAGATGAGCATCTGTAAATTTGAATTAACTTTCTGTTATCTCATACACAGCAAATCCAGCATGTCCAAATTAACACTGTCGGATTTGATTTCAACACTATTAAAGTGTCTATATGGGTCCACACCAGAGTGTTAATTTAACTCTTTTTGGAGAGTTGGTACGTTAACTCTGATTTAGTGTTAAACACCAAATCTGTCTGGAGTTGATAATTTAACACT